TTGAATTAATAGTATCCTTAAATTATCAGTGATGCTGGAAAATTATTAAACATACTTATGTGAAATTGGGCTGTTTTGAAACCGAATTACAACAAAATGATAAACGTTATTCCCTGTGTTAACATGTAATTCTGTCCAAATTTGAACTTAAAACGTCTGTAAAAAATATCTGTGTGCATAGATTTTTTAGTTACGGAAAAACTGCTTAATTGGAACCTTGTTTTAAATTCTAAACTTGATAAATATTGTCAAAATTTGAACTTTAAATGATTATCAAAAAAAATCGTGCCTATATGTATTTTTAAAATTTTTCAACTGCTATTGTAACAATATATTAAGAGTTTTATATTCAATTTTCATGCTTTTTGACCCAACTATACAATTTTGTTGACATTTATATATTAAAATCAAAATCAAAATTGAAAGTGTCCGTCAACAGCTTAGAACGAGTCAAAATATTTTAAAAAATGTATCAAGTATATGAATTGATAAAATAAACATATGATGTAAATTTCATGTGTCTACAGTAATTTTTTTTTTGAATTATAGCAAAATAAGAAAATCGCTATAAGAAAAATTGAGTGAATTATCCAATAATGTAAAAATGTCAACTTCAAACTCTCATAAAAATTTAATTTGACTTTCTGGTAGAATTTTTTAATTCTTAGATATAAAAAGATTTTTGTTATGAATTTCTTATTGAATATAATTTGTTAATTTTCGTGATTTTTACGAATTTTGTCAAAATTCTAAGTTTATACGCTCATAAAAAATTATTGTGGATTTACGCTCAATTTTTTTTTGATTTGCACTGACAAAAACTTACGACGAACCTTGTATTACATTTACAAGTTTTTTGACTGAGCGAAAAATTATTTATCGACATTAGTTTAAAAAATACAAATAATTATCGAAAATGGCATATGTCTAAATAGTTCAACACAAGTCAAAATATTTTGAAAATTTTATGGCGTATAGAAAATGCGAACACAAATGTTCAGTGAAAATGTCATGTATCAATACGGTAATTTTTTTTAGAGTTACACTAAAAACCAAGATCGATTTTTTCGAAAATTGGTTTTGCTTAAAAATTCCCGTTTTTTCTTAATTTTTTATTTATTGTTCCTTTTGCTTTTGAAAATGATTGGGAATTTTAAATTTTGACCTCCCGAATGCACCAACTAAGTTCACTTGTCTACCAGAAAAGTTGCTGTTGAAGAAAATCGAAGCACTTTTACAACAAGAAGCCGCGATGACACAAAAAAAAAAAATTATAAAACACACATAATTTTAAAATCAATATACTCATCGCTCCGCTCAGAATCTAAAATGCACTATTATTTACTTTAGATAAATTGTCTTCAGTAAAACGTTGACGGCGGTTTGGGCTTAAAATATTTTTGTAGAAAGAAAATGATCTTTCTACTTCCACGAAAGTTATTGGGGGTATATTTCATACATAAATAATAATCAGTTAAATTCAGATTAATACTCATTAATTCGTCATCGTTTGTTGTTACTTGTTTCTCCAATTAATATTGAGTTGATTTTTTTGATGTTTTCCTATCTTTTGTTTCTCGGCATTACTTTATTGAATTTATCCAAAATCAATTTAGCCACTTCGCCACTACATTCCTCGAGTTTAGTGTTTAATCTGTATATTATTCCATAATATCTACACTTTTTGATAATAATATACCTAAAACACAACAGTTTATTTTAATTTATAGGTAAATAATATTTGTTCCTCTAACCAAAAGCTCTTTATATACATACAATACATTGTGGTCAATTTGTAATTTAGTTGTTTTTTTTTGAAATTTCAAATAGGTACGAGGTACTTTTACTTAGTGCATGCGGTATTCGAGACTTTTATAATATTACTCATTAGTCATTGGGTATAAAACTAATATAATTAAAATTGAGAAGGTGCTAAACACTACGAAGAATATATTATTGTTAATTAGAATAGAATATAAATACATAATAAAATAATTCATATTAGATTTATCTTTTGAGGGCGTCGGAGGTGGCGCGTTTTTAGTACAAATACATAACGTAATTTAATATACAAAATATTCAAATACATTACAGGAAAAAATTTCACACCCCACATGGCTGTATACAGTATTCTACAGAATAGTAGGATTTTGTAAATTTTGAGATCCTGAGAGGAGCGATGAATGTATTAATTTTACAATGATGTTTTTTTTTTAAATTAAATGAAATGAAATTTTTGTTTCTGTGTACACGTCAGTGATCAAAATAATGCTTCAATTTTCAACTTCTATTGAATCCAGTTAGTGCATTCGGGAGGTCAAAATTTAAAATTCTTATTAATTTCCAAAAGCACAGGAAAAAAAAAATATTTATTAAAAACGAAAATGTTTACCCAAAATCGGATTTAAAAAAAAGTGATTTCGATTATCAGCATACAACTGCCGCAGTAATAATAGTCTGTATTTTGAAATAAACAATATTATTATAGACTATAGTACTTAGTACCTACAGACGTACAATAATTACTAATTAGTAGTAACCGAATAACTAATGGCCAATGGCTAATAACTATTTAATATTTAGTCAACGACAATTATCATATAAACAAACAAATAATTATTGTATTTTCTGCTTTGTTCTCGGGCCCAAAGAATAGTTGCATATCTATACTTATGAATCCTAAATCATGCGTCTCACGTCTTTAGTGTCGCGATCTCTGCTTGTTCCATCAATTGTAAGTGAAACGTGGTTGTTTAAGGACGCGTGTATAATACACGATTATGTTAATTGAATATAAGCAGAAAAAAACATACAATATCCTGTTTCCTTTTCACGATTCCTGTATTGGAGTGTTACAGCCGCTGTAATTACACCGGATGCAATAAAATGAGCTTATTATTATTTCGGTCTAACAATAGATCTCTAAATTGTCTTATAGGTTTGTCGGGGTTTCCTAATCAATTTGCCACGATTTAGACACCTGCAACACGGATCGTTGATCCAAATGATGACAATAACATTTAATATTATATAATATATTCATGGTACCTATATCCATCGTTTAACGAGTACAATAATTATACAAGGAAACCTAGGAAAGGGCACGAATAACGAATATCGTTTTAAACCAAGGTCCAGGGTATATAGTCGAGAAATAACATTACTATATTATGATTTGGGTATTTTGAAACTTTAAGACTTCGATCACTATACGCTAGGGCTTCTGAAAAAATTTGTCATTGGTGGGAATGAGGGTGGGAAGTATTTTTATTTTTCAATTTTTTGTTTAATTTTATCTCATATCAGTGATAAAGTGTTGTTTGGGACATATTTTCTTCCATACAGGTAGTTAGGAAGCATAACAATTATTTATGAATTATATGTAGATTGTTATAGTTAAAACTTAATCTTACAGCATTAGTTAGTATAGGTCCAGTTATAATTATTTCAATGTATACATAGTCCACCCCAGCGTACATCGACATATCGGGATATGCCGAGTGCTTCCCGTTTTTAATTTTTACCTTTTTCATAGCTCGAGTGCGTCCGCCGTCTTATCGACCACGGTCCATAGCTGTGATAGCCGATAGGTATCTGTTTAAGATAAACTAATCGAATAAAAACATGTAAGATACATATTTGACGACTGAATATGGTGATTTGAATGTACAACTATAATACTTTAAAGGTACATCATTTGTACATTTGTGACTGTAGAACACCAGAAACAGTGGGGAAATTAATTTTAACTTTGATAATAGTTAAAATAAATCGTACACTCACCCAAACTTAACGGTGTAAGCTAAAATAAATTAATAATAATAATAATAATAACAAAAATAAATAATAGTGATAAAATATTTTTGGGATATAAGCCAGTTCACCTCCTCATGGTACACCCTGGGTAACTCTAAATTAACTGTGGGATGCCTTCGGTCTATGTAAGAAATATGACCTTTTTTTCTTGGGACGCACTCTGATATCTTATTCTGCACGAATTATAAGAACATTAAAAAAGAGTCATTTCGGGGACGCACTCGGAAAACTTCCCGATATAACTAGTGCTTTTATTGTGACCGATTGGCTAAAAATTGCTCGTTACCAAATGTGTGTCTTAATGCTGATCCCCTAACAGTTATAGAATATAGGAATATGTAACAATTTATGGTATTTCGCTATAGTAATTATAGCCCAGTAAACAAATATACATATATTAAACGTATAATATACGGATACACATAATCTAAGTTACGTATAATAAACGAATATATTTAGTTGATGATAAGTAGAAATCATGGATATTTTTGGGTCAAAAGATAGATATTCAACGTATATTATGTGTGTAATAAACGTAAATTCTAACGTATATTCAACGTTTAAAATACGTTTATATTTGTGGCTAAAAATATGTTTATAATTAGTGTATATACGAGTATATTTATTTAGTTAGCAACGTATAAATTACGTTTAAAATACGTATAAATTATAATAATAGTAGTATAAATTTGGGATATGATACGTTTATCATATACGTGTATTTTGGTATAAATTTCGTGGATATGATACGTATATCATATACGTGTATTTTGGTATAAATTTCGTGGATTAACATGTAAAGATCACGTGTATATTTAGTTTATATACGAGTATATTTGGTGTAATTAGCAACATATAAAATACGTATATAATTATTATAGTAGTATATGAAATTGGGATATATGTATATCATATACGTTTATTTTAGTATAAACTTCGTGGATAAACATGTAAAAATAATGTTTATATTTAGGTAGTATATATTAGGTGTATGTAATACCTTTACTTTATGTACATTTTTAATATTACAATTTACATGGATTCAAATTCAAAATTTAACTAATGTTTATATGGATCCAGAAAGGTGTCTGTAGAAAATGTAGAATATGCACTTTTTATTTATATATGAGAATTAGGTATAGTAGTTTATTAATTTTAGTTATATATAATATAATATTAGTATTTATATAATCACAAAAATCATGTTTTAATATTAGTATAAATCAATAATTATATTATTAGGATTTCCTCTTAGGAGCCTGCTTTAGCCAATCACTCATATGCATTTTTATCAGTTTCAGTGATTCTTCAGGAAACATGAACTTCACAGCATCTGTGAAAAATATAAAATAATTAATAATTAGCTGTTCCTAAAATTCAAAGTTGTCTGGATTTAATAATAAATAATTTGTTAATTAATTACAAATTAAATCAAAATCAGTTATTTAGTTGTGTGAAAACGAAAAACAAAAACTGTATCCCTAAATAACTAAATGAATTTAAAAAGTCAATCAGATATCTTCTTACTTTTTCAAAAGTACTTTTAGTAACTTGGAAAAAAATATATAGGTTTTTAGTTGAAAAGGTAAAGTAAAGATTAAGTGGTAATTGTGAGGCAGTTTTATACTTTAACTATGAAAACTAAGCCTAACCTGATAGAAGTTGTGCTCGTGGTCAGTTTTTGATGAAATTAAAATTATTGATTTTCTACTGTATAGTTTAAAACCTGTGTAGTTTTAACCTAATTTTTTTACTTTAGAATCATACCTATTATTATTGTACAAATTTCCATTTTTCCAAATGCTCGCTTTTCTCCTCTTCCTTCCATATTCAATCCCTCGGCCATGCGATTTTCAAAAACCATCTTCATAATTTGATATGTTGTTCTTTTTGAGTCAAATGACTTTCCATTTCTGCGAATAACATTAGCCTATTTATAGGAAAAAAAAAGATATACTTTATATAATAATAAAATAATAATAATAATAAAAAAAATACAAAGATTTGTTTTAGTTCTTCATCGGCTTCAAGACTGTCAAGTTGTTCCATGGTCTCTAACGGTATTTTTAAATTTGACCGATTCATATTTTCAACAGTTTGATTTCGAGTGGTTTGGTGGTTTTGTCTGTCATTTACTTCTGCTATTAAATTTTGATTTTTCATCACATCAATTTTTATAACATTAATATCCTTTTGAAGGGAAACCATTTGATTAAACACTGAAAATATAATAATTTACAATTTTTTTAAATTTTAAACAGAGTGTAAAATGTATTTAAGGGGATTGGAAGCGGTGATTTTCTGTCTGTCTAACATATGTGGAAAATAGGATAAATAGCTATACACCTGACAAAAATTAAGGTACTTCTAGTTGTTCGATTTAAAAAATATGATGTTTAAATTGATATACAAGATTACTTTACATCATTCGAAGCATATTTTTAATATAATTAACAAATGACAAATTTATAAAATTTAAAATATTTATTATCATCAAAATATTGCTACAATTGAAAAAGTGCTCAGACTACAAAATCTCACACTTGTAACCCTAGCCCTTAAGTGAGCACCCAATCAGTCTTGCAAATGATTCATCTCAACCAATTCCTCACATTCGTCTCAAAATACTCAAATGAAAGCAGTGTCATCTACTCCCTACATGAGTATTTTAATTTTTAACCATATAATAGTGTTATAATTTCTTCAAATCAAGTTATTCAATGTTAAATAATATCATACATATGCAATTGCATACATTTGTATTATCATGCTATTTAAAAAAATATTATATTTATTACTATAAAATTATCGGAAAAATTATTATTATATTATATTTAATTTACACTAAAATTGAAGGTATATATTATATATAATATAGGTACTGTATAATTCAAATAGAGTGAAAACAATTTAATTAATTTTCATTGCATACAAGTTACATTCTTATACAAAAATAAATAATGTCCAGGAGATTTATTGATTCTACTAATTTAATCATTTTTATTTTTTATTACCTTTCATTAATGTGTGACTGATACATTGCATTTTATCCATCATATTATAACTTGACATGTTGGATGTTGGATTTATATTTGTTAAATGCTGTTGTACATTTTGGGACAATACTGTTTAGCATAAGAATATTATTATAATAATTATTAATATATTATATATAATTATTAATATATATATATATATATAATTAAGTTTACCAGTATTTTGTTCAGAATTGTCTTCATCATAATTTATTTCTGATTGTTCCACTATATCAGGCGAGTTTTCTTTACTGCTGCATATATCAAATAAGCCTAAAAAGCAAATTCAGTTGTAGTAATATTATTAATAGCTTAAAAATAAATAAAACATAAGCATTAATACATTTAGACAAATTAAACAAATTTTATATCATGTGTTTGAAATGTGTTGTATAGTGCCGGTTAGCAGTAACTGCACCATGGTGGCATTCTACAGGTTAAATTCTATCAGTTATAGTGCTCACCAGCACTTTACCGTACATAGTAAGAACGGCCCTTTAGTCTTTGAAAAAAAAAAAAAATCAATAAAAAACTAAATAATAAAATACCAGAAGGTTTTGGAGCTTTTTCTAAATCCACAGACGATACATAGTAATTGCGATGAAGTATTGAATCACTTCCGTCTGAATCAATTTGTTTATTATTATTTTTCCTTTTTAATCCTAGATTACAATTAAATGTATTATTATTTATAAGTTGTGCTGTAAATAATCAATAATCTTTTATCATACAAACACAATAAAAATATACAATGTGATTTTTTATTTACATAACACTCATTATTTGAAAAATTATTAACTTTTTTGGAATTTTTCTTTTGGAAAATGTTCTCGAATAGTCAAATCTTGGTTATTTCAGTAGTATGATATTTTTCATCCCTTTAGTTTTACCCTAATTGAGTAACAACTTTTGATTTTTAAATAGTAACCCTTTTATTTTATACCAGAAAAGTATAAGTAAGATAAGTAAGTTAATACATCTTCAAAAACTGAATGTACATTGAATGTACACAACGTACGTTAGGTTAACACAACGTTGTGTCATCAAAAAATCAACCTGAATATATAGTTATAAACATGCATTATATATGTGTGACTTTTTAAATGTATACAAGTATTAACATAACTTTGTTGATTTTGTTAATAATTAAGTTGTAAACACAACTGATTACACGTTTCTGAACTTACTTTTACTCGAGCTTTGACTTAATTCAATATCCCATGTATCTTCAGTGTTCTTGTTAGAAGAATCAAAGAACTGTTTTTTTTTACGTTTTCTAGGCTTATCTACATTTTCCACCTCGGTTGTACTGGTATTACAAAATGTTGTTAATTTTTTCTTTGCTACATCATATGATTCTGAAAGTTTTTAAATGAATACAAGAAGTTTTAATTATTAATATTTTAGCCTAAACACAATAATAAAATATGCTTAAAGTTGAATCACAAACCAGCAAACTTTTTTGGAATGCAGTCTTATTTATCCCATACATTTGTTGGTAGTTTTTGAGAGGCTGTATAGCGGGAAGCATTAGAACTTCCTGGCCACCTACAAATAAACTTTTGTAGTATCTCATCAACAATGATCCAGTTACTTGGGACTATTTCAATACATTGTTCTTCTTCCAAAAACTCAATTATAACAAACTTGTTTAATTTAAGATTTTCAATTGTAGCTACAAAATTTGCGGATAAGTATGAATCTATATTTTTAAAAGTATCAAAAATTTTTTTTAAATAATAGGTATATAAAATATTACAAAATAGCCAATTATTTATTATGTCTAAAGTAGGTATTATTACTTTCAATAGCCAATATACGTCCAAAATCTGTTATCCAATGCAGTGTATTAACTTGAACATACTTCTCTGACTTTTTTTTTGTATTGGTGAGTGGTCTATACTATTCATATATTTGACCAATAACAGGAACAGGATAACCAATCTCTAACTTTAGCCACGTGATTGGAGTAGGTATTGCTAATTTGCTGTTGTCCGAGGCAACAACAATACAATATGACTTGGTCTCCATACTAAACAAAAAAATACATAAATAACCTGTAAATATAAATACCTATTTATATAATAGATATATTTATTACAAACTAGCACTTATTATAAATTAGTTAAATTTAATAAACTATTACCTAGTTGTAAATATGAAGCAATGAACATACATAAAATTTATTTTGTTCCCATTGTAATTCTTTATCAGAAAAAGGAAAATAAGAAGCCTTGAATTTAACACTATTAATATGAAACAATTGAACTGTAGATGATATTCTACTACATTCAAATATTCCAACTGATGTAGAAGAGCAAGGGATGTTGTAAAAAGGATCAACTTTTTCAAATGCAGAACATACTAGGAAAATTTCTCTATTTCGTTCAACAATATTCTTAACGATGCATATAATATTTGATGACATAATCACACAATCATCTTTTTTGGTAATTCTTTCTTTTTCGTTTTTGAATTCGTAAAGTATATGTCGGCATGAATAAAATAGAATATTGAGTGACAGATTCAGCCCATATATTTTCTGGCAATGGACCATCATAATGATGACCATCGAGCAATGGGTACAGTGGTATTTCTGAAATATCAGTATGACTACATGTACGTTCTTCTATTATACGGTTATGAAGTTGAACTAATGGAGAAGGACTAGATTGTAATATTTTTTTCAAATGCTGTAAATAATTTTCGAAAGGAAAAGCTGAAAAATTATCTACTACACCATATTTTTTGCAGTCATTTGCCAAATGAATAAACGAATGTACATTGTATGAAACATTTCCACTTCCAAATACATGAGAAAATGTTTTTACAAAATGTTTAGCTAAAGCATTGGCATAATCATTTTGGCTATAAACAGTTTTACTACAGCTCAAAATTCTCATGACAATATTAAACATTATTAAATTATTATAAACAGGTAAACTAACTATATGTTTAAATAAAAATGGTCCTGTGTACAACATTATTTGTCGTAGTTCTGTAGCTTTAAAGGTATGGAAGTCACTTAAGTTGTGTGGTACACGAACAAAGTCTGAACATAGATATTTTGAAATAATTTTCAAACGATTATTTATTAAGATGATTTGATCCTTAGAAAGTCGAATTTGACCACATGAATTAACAACTTTAGACCCTCTTACAATACAATGTAATATTTTTTTCATTATACCCAAGCAACAAAGATGCATATAGTCCAAAGGGATACTTGAGACAAGCCCAATACCAGTAATATCTAATAAAGGAGATATTCCAACGTGATGTTCTTCATTAGTACGGTTTAAAAATGAATCATCAGTACGTTCTTGAGCAGTTTCGTCATTAAATGATACACTACCATACAAATACTCTCCTTCATCCATACATTTTTCACAACTAAAGTATCCAGAGTGTCCTTTAATCTGTTTAATATAAGCTCGGGCAGGTGCATCGGCAATTATTCCTTTTAAATGTATACTTATATTGCTATCATCAACTTGTAAACCAGTATTTATAAGATCATTAAGTTCATGAATAAAAGGAGAGAGGTATTCATAAACATTGTATGGTTTTTTTTCTCCAAAATAAGAACCAATAATGAAAGGTTTTATTGAATTATCGACAAAAATACCACATAGAATAGGCCACAATGATTTACCCTTTCTGTCAATTGGCAACCCATCAATATTGAACCATAATTCAAGGACCGTTAGTTGACGAACGTATGGATCTCTATTTAATAAATGTTTTAATCCATTGGATATACCAAAATGGATGTACTGACCACCAGCGATTGTTTTTATTTCTACACTTCCTGATCGGGGAGTTGATAATAAGGTCCTGGAATCTGTTGGTAATGATTTTAAGCTCTCCAAATTATCCACAGATTTTAATAATTTTAATAATTCTGAAGCACGACTTCTTGGAAGTCGAGAATTAGTTATAAACGAGGCTAGTTTTAAATCAAAAGTATTTAAATCAGGCACATGTTGAGGAATATTTATTTCTCTAAGCTCCAAACATAGTTCAGGCTCATTATTAGAATTATAGCTTGAATCTATTTGAGAAAATTGTTCAGGTGGTTCGACTTGTTCGGTTTGAATAGAAATAAGCGGAGGAATAACATTTTCTGTTTTGTTGACTAAATAATTAATTTCAACAATCTTTTCTCTCCGTCTTTTAGAAACTTGTGATAAGCAGCTACTAGGCTTATAAGCATTTTTGGGCATTTCCTTAAATTTTAAAATAAAATAAATCAATCAAAAAAACAAACATTTGTATACCTAATTACTAAAATTAATTATTTATTTTAATTCTAACTTATACCAAAATGTGGCTCTATAAAATGGATTAATACCACTTTTATGAAAATGATAAAAGAAAAAATTATTAAACTTGTATAAATTGTTGTATCAACTAACCTCACTGTCCTCGAGACTTTCCCTACTGTACCTAGTTTTAAACAATAATTGTATGCTTTTTTTATGTGATTTTGAAGAGCAGTTCATAAAAATATGTGATGCATCTTAGTATCTTACTGGTGGGTCGATTTATTTAATAATAATTCAACACTTAATACCTATAAACCTAAGTATATTTTATATTTTATCTATCATTGAATAAATATAATTCATAAAATCTTATAGGTACCATACTAACTAGCAGGCCCTATTTTTTAGTGAACCCCGACACAAAGTGTGTAGTCCGAAATTGGAAGTGTGCACTACGGATTTGACAATAAGTGTGTACCTACTAATACATAATAGACTACAAAAATAAATAGATTATAATTTATAGGTAGTATAACATACAGTGTAGTATACATAGTAGGTATATACTATATATAGACATATTATTATAGTATTTACTGTATATTACACTATACACATTGTACATACAATTAACAAATAATTTTTAAAAATGAAAATCTTATGATAGGTACCAAAAATAAATTGTTTTCAGTTACATTTTACCAAATTGATATTCACTTCTCTACTTTGAATCGGGAATTGTTAATACGCCGGGTAGTCGGTAGATATACGATATACCTACAACTATCGCGAAGGAGACTTTACATCTTTTTTTTTTCAAAATATTATCGATTTATGAATGTATAAAGTACATTACTAAGGTATAAATATGTAGGTATACAAAATAGTATAATATTATTAAGAGGATGTCAGCGCACTATTTGTTTTCTCTCTCTAGCCCACGCGCAACATAGACAGAACGCATTTACGCAAAATCATTTTTCTATGTTTTTAAGTAATCTTAGAGTAATATCACCCATTACAAAAAAGATAGAGAATAATATTTTTGAGGGAATGACATATCGATGTGTCTAAATATTGTCTCAAAACAATTTAAACATAATTTAAATTTACATAATTTATTTGTTTATTTTGAAAGTCGAATAAAAAAATAAAATAACAATAAAATATAAAATCGATATGTCATTCCCTCAAAAATTGTATTCTCTATCTTTTTTGTAATGGTTGATTTTACTCTAAGATTACTAAAAAACATAGAAAAAATGATTCTGCGTTAATATACGTTTTGTCTGTGTTGCGCTGAAATCCTCTTAACTAATTACCACGATTAAATAAGTAAAAACAAAAAATGTATTAAATTACTGAAGAATAATTAAAAATTTGAACTAAATCATTTCGTTACATGCAAGGAGCAGTTGCTCCAGGCGGCAGGGGCGGCCAAATATTTGAGGGCGGCAAAAAAATAACATAATGTCTTTTGTAATATAATAAAAATAAAATATTTAGTAGAATAAATATTAATTATTACTTTTACGAATTTACGATGTCAATAATTGTCGGAATATCTAAAATCGTAATGGAATCTGATATTAGAACTATTAGGTACTTATTGGAAGAGAACGTCGTTTATGGACCTTGTTCTTGTAATACCTAGTAAAAATGCTCAGATTTTCTTCAACACTATCTTTTCTGATAGGAAGTGAATTCCCAATAGTTTTCAAAGGCGCCGTGAAAAATAAAAGAAAAATTAAGGAAAAACGGGAATTTGTACGTAAAAACGGATTTCGAAAAAATCGATTTTGGTTTTTGGTGCAATTCTTAAACAAATGACGGTAGGTACATGCAATTTTGACTGAATGTTTATATTAACATTTTCTATACACCATAACATTTTTCAAATATTTTGACCTATTTTGAGCTGTTGACGGATATTATTCAAAACAATTTCTGCAAGATAGTCAAATTAAATTTTTATGAGCGTTTGAAATTCATATTTTTACAATATTGGATATTCACTCGATTTCTCATGTAACGATTTTCTTATTTTATTGTAATTAAAAAACGAATGACAGTAGATACTTATAAATTTCACTGAATGTGTATATTAGCATTTTCTATACACGATAAATTTTTAAAAATAATTTGACTCTTTTTGAGCTGTTTACGGACATTGTCAGTTTTCAATATTTTTAGTTTTTTTTCTATAAATATCAATGAAATGTTATTTGTTGGTTAAAAAAACTTGAAAATTTAATAGAAGGCTCCTAGTATATTGTTTCAAAGGCAGATAAAAAAAATTAAAATCCAGTCACAATTTTTTTTTATAAGCATTTAAAGTTCAAATATTGACAAAATACGTAAAAATTACGAAAATTTGCAAATTATTTTGTTGTTAGAAATTCAAAAAAAAAATATTTCTTTTTAAATCTAAGATTTGAAAATGTAATACAAGATTACTCATGAGTTTGTCTACCTTTATCAAAAAAAAAATGTCTACAAGAAAGTCAAATTAAATTTTTATGAGCGTTTGAAATTCATATTATTACAACATTTGATATTCACTCGATTTCTCATGTAACGATTTTCTTATTTTATTGTAATTAAAAAACGAATGACTGTAGATATTTGAAAATTTCGTTCAATGTTCATATTCGCATTTTCTATACACTATACAATTTTGAAAATAATTAGACTCTTTTTGAGCTGTTTACGGATATTGTGAGTTTTCTTGTTCGAGCGTAGCGAGAAATTTTTTTTTATTG